CAGTATAACAAAGAGACCCAATGACTCACACAGGGACTCATAGAATCACACAGAGACGCATAGACTCATACAGAGACCCATAGACTCATACAGAGACCCATAGACTCACACATACACCCATAGACTCACACAGAGACCAATAGACTCACACAGAGACCAATAGACTCACACAGAGACCAATAGACTCACACATACACCCATAGACTCACACAGAGACCCATAGACTCACACAGAGACCAATAGACTTACACAGACACCCATAGACTCACACAGAGACCAATAGACTCACACAGCGACCAATAGACTCACACAGAGACCAATAGACTCACACAGAGATCAATATACTCACACAGAGACCAATAGACTCACACAGAGACCAATATACTCGCATATAGTCACAGCAATTATGACCACCCCCCTCCCCGGAGAGTAAGAGATGCCCAGATCCAGGCATCGAACCCAGGGTGGTTCTCCGCTGTGCTCTGAATCTCACGTGGGTCTATTTATGTGGTTTGCTAAGAAACCGCGAATCTAACAACGCGTGGATTGCATGCGTTATGACGGCAATAACAGAGGGCTCTCACATCGATGGTTATTGTATGACCCCTAACTGTGACAACAATCAACTGAACAATGCGTGGTGTACTACTCTGACGCTGAGTCGACCTAGGGGAGGCCCAGCACCGGTCCAGATAATCGCCACCCTGAGTGGGAATGGAACTCAGGTCTCTGCCGGTGCCACGGGTCGACTGACTGAGATGGCTGGCTGATGCACCACCTGTGCCCCCTACTGTGCCAACCTGCTGTGCTTTAGCCACCCGGCAGTTGGACTGCCTCCAACTGCCCAGTAGCGTCCTTCACGAGCCTCATCCACAGAGTCCGATCTTGACACCACTGGTACCGGTTATCGACAAGTCCACTCAGCTCCGCATCCCCCTGTACCACATCACTCCATCTCTTCTCTAGCCCGTGCCGCGCCCGTTTACCCCCTCTCGATCCGGCCAAACAAAAGCTGCGGTAGCTGGGCATGCGGGCTACATGACCCAGCCAACGCAGCCTTGCCTGCCACAGTAGCTCGCTGATGGGACTATGTCCAGATCTTTCAAGAATTTGTGAGCCCCTCACATAATCCAGCCTGGTTAAACCCAGGATGGATCATAGGCAGGCCAACCTAAATGTTTCTAACCAGCGAAGATGTTCCATTAGGGGGATCCACGTGTCGCAAGCATAGAGAAGGGAGGGAATGACTGTGGCCGAGAAGACCTGAAGCTTCCACACAGCACTACGCAACCGATGAAAAGATAATGTCTCTCGGCTGATTCGGAGTGAGACCTCTGCTGTCAAATCGGAGCCGGTCATGAGCACACTGCCCAGGTATGTGAAACTCTCCACTCTCTCCGATGGTACAACATACCCAGGCAGGTGCTTAGTTTTAGTAGGGCTGATGGTAAGGCTCCACCTCTTAGTGGCAAGCTCTAGGTTCAGCAGCAGCGTCTCCAACTCCTCCTCTGAATGAACAGCAGCTACCAGATCACCGGCATACATAACATGGTTGAGCAATAGGGAGCCATCCCTTGACCACACCCGGGCATTGATCAGACTCCCATCATATCTGTACCAGATGGAAATTCCTCCAGTACAGCTAATGAAGGCTTCATGAACTACGTGGTCGAAATACATATAAAGTAATGTGGGAGCCATAGTACATCCCTGTCGAACCCCAAGGTGTACAGGGAAAAGTCTGACTCCCGGCCACGTAGTTTTACCCAGGCCCGCTCACCATCATGAAGGTCCTTAATGATCGTGAGCAGAGGGTCAGGGACTCCAAAAGCACGAAGAACAACCCAGAGCCCAGGCCTACTGATGGTATCGGTATCATAGGCCACGACCAGGTCAATAAAGCAGAGATGTAGGTCTTGTTGGAATTCCCTACACCTCTGCTGTAGCAGACGGACAGAAAATATGGCATCTCTGCAGGACTGCCCTTTCCTGTAACTGCAATGGGGCTCCACAAGCATCTCCTCAGCGTGCCTGGAAAGGCGATGTTGAATAATCCTTGCCAGGACATTTCCCGGCACACTGAGGAGTGAGATGCCCATGTAGTTGTTAGAGTCTGTGCGGTCCCCCTTCTCAAAGAGGGTGACCATCAGGGCATCCTTCCAATCCTGCGGAACCCGTCCAGTGGCCCAGACTGTTGTTATGATGTCATGTAGGGTAGTCTTTGCACAAACGCCACCCTCAGCATTTTGCTTGGGAGATCATCTCTGCCCGGTGACTTTCCTGGTTTTAGACTTCCTCAACAGATGGCACCTCAGCCAGCCACTGAGAAGTGGTGACTTCTTCTTTCAAAATTTGAGGCACCGCAGCCTCAGCAGGGTCATCCCCACTTTGTCCCACGATGTTTTCCAGGCTGAGGGATTTCCCCTCCCCCAGCACCTCACAGAAATACTCAGCAAATCTGCAAACCTGTTCCTGGGCATCGGAGATTGGATCACTTGTCCTTCCCCTAATGATGGTAATAGGGTAATAGGTATGGACGCTGCAGGTTACTTTTTGATGGCGTTAAAGAGCGATTTGTAATCGTGGGCCATTGAGGCAGACTCCATCTCCTCAGCAACCCGCGACCACCACCCATCCTTGCAGCACCTCACAGCTCTCTGAACCTCGAGCGAAGGCTGCGGTAAACCTCCTCATTCTCTGACGTGGGATGTTGTAGACGATGAGAGTGGGCCTGTCGCTTTTTCTCAGCCAGTCTGAACACCTCCTCTGTCAGGCAGGGTCTCTGGGGAGGTGTGGACCGTGTACCGTAAGCAGCCATTACAGCTGCATTAGTCACAGTCCTAAACCTCGCCCATTTCCCCTCGACATCAGGAGGAGTGGGGGACGATGCCAACCCCAGCCGCAAACGATGATGAAATTATCGCTTGCAACTTTCATCAGCTAGCTGAGACCAGGTTTGCTATGGGATTGAATGGGGTCCTGGGTGTACATCCTCCACCAGAGTGGGAGAATGGCAGGCGCATCTTACAGATGACAAGTCGATGGTCAGAGGGCAGATCAGCTCAACGGTAGGTTCTGGTGTCAAGGACATGGGCCCCCATCCGCTGTTCCATCACTATACAGTCCAGCAGATGTTCTTGCTTGGACCCGGCATGCATCCATGATGTTGTGTGTATGCGCCGATGCCAGAACAGCGTGTTGGTAATTACAAGCCCATGGGCTGCACAAAAATCTAGCAGCCTCCTACCGTTCTCATTGAGCTGATCTGGCCCATGCCTTCCAACAACTCCAGACCAGGTGCCAGCATCATGACCAACTCGGGCATTGAAGTCACCCAACAAGATGACTCTATCCCGAGGGGCCACTTTAGCCAGCACCTGTGACAGGTCATAGAAGGGTTCTGACTCATCGGTCTTGCCTGCATCCCTCCACGGATATTCATCTTCAGTGGGGGCATAAGTAACCACGACCACTACTCCCCACCTCTGGTTGATGGGAAGGCGAGCCCAAAGTAGCCTGGGGCTTACGGCTTCCCACACCTCACTGCCACGCTCCCACGCCCCCTTCATTCTTTTGTTCAGAAGAGCCACTCCCTGTTGTTTGGCAGTCTCCTGCCCCGAGAAGAGGACTGTCCACCCCTTATGTTGGCAGGAGCCAGAGCCGGTCCACCGGACCTCCTGAATACCACAGAGATCCAGGCGATACCGGTCCAGCTCCCGACAGAGGAGTGGAAGCCTCTCCTCTGCAGTGAGCGTTCGAACATTCCACGTGGCCACCCGCATTAAATTTTTGCTGTTTCTGGAGGAGCCTCGAGGGTAAGGATTCAGTCTCCTGGCTCCGCCAAATGGGGTTTGGCCAGGAGACGTCATAAATGCCTGTCCCCCCGGGGCCTCTGGCACAAGCTTAATTCGATTTTTATTCCGTGGTTTCGTGGTACTTGGATTGGAGGCGGAGGGGTTACCAGCCCCTCGCACCCGAGGGGCTGCTTTGGCCGCTGTGGTGGCTACGAACCCCATGAGGGGAATGGCCAATCGAAATTGGCCCTCCCCCCACAGCACTGCACAACACAGCGTTACCGTCGGGCACCAATGAGGAGGTCGGGCGTTATTTTGCCGGACACACAGACAAACCCACACGTACACACACAGACACACCCACACGTACACACAGACACGCAGACACACGTACACACAAAGACAGACACACACGCGTACACATACACGTGCACACACAGAGACGTACACACAGACACACATGCACACACAAACAAAGATAAAGATCCCCCATATAGTCTTAACAGACTGCAGGGGCAAGTGCTGTTAGCGAGCACCTATGAAGGCCGGTACGGCACACCAGTGGGTGGGTGGCCAGCACCACGCCCGGCCGCCTTTGTCTCCCCAGTGACAATGTTTACTACACACCGCACCAGGTACTAATTTGAGGCTGAGTCAACATAGGGGAGGCCCAGGACCGGTTCAGATAATCGTCACCGGTGTTGGCCGTGAGCGGGAATCAAACCCGGGTCGCCGGGTTCATAGCGCAGCGTAGCGCTAACCACTACACTACCCCTCCACACACACACGTACACACGTACACACACACACAAAGACAAACACACACGTACACGCACAGACACGCACATGTACACACACGCACATAGATATACGCACACACACGTACACGCAGAGACACACGCACATAGACACACACGTACACACACGTACAGACACACACACGCACGCACGCACATAGACACACACGCACGCAAACACGCGTACACGCACAGACACACGCCCACACATGTACACACACGCACACACACAGTTACACGCACACACACACGCACACACACGCGTACACGCAGAGACACGCCCACACACGAATGACCGTCACGTCGCTCATACCTCAGTGATTCGTCACAGGTGTGGGCGGGGCAGAGCTGCCGATTGTACCTCTGAGCTTGAAGGAGGAGGGAAGGGGAGGGGCAGAGTGGGGGGGGGGGAGACGAATCGACAGGGAGCTGAGCCATGGACGAGCCCGGTCCGGTCTGTGCTGAAGAGTCGCAAACGTGAATTGAACTGTGAGTGTTTATACACACACACAGTGTACATAGTGTACACACACACAGTGTACATAGTGTACACACACAGTGTACACACACACAGTACATAGTGTACACACACAATACATAGTGTACACACACAGTGTACACACACACACAGTACATAGTGTACACACACAGTGTACATAGTATACACACACAGTGTACACACACACAGTACATAGTGTACACACACACACACAGTACATAGTGTACACACACACACAGTGTACATAGTGTACACACACACACAGTGTACACGCACACACAGTACAAAGTGTACACACACACAGTGTACACACACACAGTGTACATAGTGTACACACACAGTGTACACACACAGTGTACATAGTGTACACACACACAGTGTACATAGTGTACACACACAGTGTACACACACACAGTACATAGTGTACACACACACACACAGTGTACATAGTGTACACACACAGTGTACACACACACACAGTGTACATAGTGTACACACACAATACATAGTGTACACACACACAGTGTACACACACACACAGTGTACATAGTGTACACACACACACACAGTATACACACACAGTGTACACACACAGTGTACATAGTGTACACACACACACAGTGTACACACACACACAGTGTACATAGTGTACACACACAGTGTACACACACACAGTACATAGTGTACACACACAATACATAGTGTACACACACAGTGTACATAGTGTACACACACACAGTGTACACACACACAGTACATAGTGTACACACACAATACATAGTGTACACACACACACAGTGTACATAGTGTACACACACACACAGTGTACACACACACAGTACATAGTGTACACACACAATACATAGTGTACACACACACAGTGTACATAGTGTACACACACACAGTGTACATAGTGTACACACACAGTGTACATAGTGTACACACACAGCACATAGTGTACACACACAGTGTACACACACACAGTATACACACAGTGTACATAGTGTACACACACACAGTGTACATAGTGTACACACACACAGTGTACATAGTGTACACACACACAGTGTACATAGTGTACACACAGTGTACACACACACACACAGTACATAGTGTACACACACAATACATAGTGTACACACACACACAGTGTACATAGTGTACACACACACACAGTGTACACACACACACAGTACATAATGTACACACACAATACATAGTGTACACACACACTGTACATAGTGTACACACACAGTACAGAGTGTACACACACACAGTGTACACACGCACACAGCACATAGTGTACACACACAGTGTACACACACACAGTATACACACAGTGTACATAGTGTACACACAGTACATAGTATACACACACTACACAGTATATACACACACACAGTGTACATAGTGTACACACACAGTACATAGTGTACACACACACAATGTACACACACAGTACATAGTGTACACACAGAGTGTACACACACACACGGTACATAGTGTACACACACAGTGTAGACACACACAGTATACACACAGTGTACATAGTGTACACACAGTACATAGTATACACACACTACACAGTATATATACACACACACAGTGTACATAGTGTACACACACTACATAGTATACACACACACACAGTGTACATAGTGTACACACACAGTATATAGTGTACGCACACAGTGTATACACACACAGTACATAGTGTACACACACACACGGAACAAACACACATAGTACATAGTATACACACACAGTGTACACACACGCACACACTATACACACAGTGTACATAGTGTACACACACAGTACATAGTGTACACACACACAGTGTACACACACACAGTACATAGTGTAAACGCACACACAGTGTACACACACACAGTATACACACGCACAGTACATAGTATACACACACAGTACATAGTATACACAGTGTACACACACAATGTACACACACAGTGTACACACACACAGTATATATACACACAGTGTACACACACAGTACATAGTGTGCACACACACAGTGTACACACACAGTACATAGTGTACACACACAGTACATAGTGTACACACACGCAGTGTACACACACACAGTACATAGTATACACACAGTGTACACACACACAGTACATAGTATACACACACACATAGTGTACACACACAGTACATAGTATACAAAACAGTACATAGTATATACACACAGTACATAGTGTACACACACAGTGTACACACACACAGTACATAGTGTACACACACAGTACATAGTGTACACACACAATACATAGTATACACACAGTAAATAGTATACACACAGTACATAGTATATACAAACAGTAGATAGTGTACACACACAGTACATAGTGTACACACACACACACTACATAGTATACACAGTACATAGTGTACACACACAGTGTACACACACAGCACATAGTATACACACAGTGTACACACACAGGACACAGTATACACACACAGTACATAATGTATACACACACAGTGTACACACACAGTACATAGTATACACACACAGTGCATAGTGTACACACACAATACATAGTATACACACAGTGTACACACACACTGTACACACACACAGTGTACACACAGTACATAGTATACACACAGTGTACACACAGTACATAGTATACACACAGTGTACACACACAGTTTCATAGTATACACACAGTGTACACACACAGTGTACACACACAGTACATAGTACACACACAGTGTACACACACAGTACATAGTATACACACAGTGTACACACACAGTACATAGTATACACATAGTGTACACACACAGTACATAGTATACAAAACAGTACATAGTATATACACACAGTACATAGTGTACACACACAGTGTACACACACACAGTACATAGTGTACACACACAGTACATAGTGTACACACACAATACATAGTATACACACAGTAAATAGTATACACACAGTACATAGTATATACAAACAGTAGATAGTGTACACACACAGTACATAGTGTACACACACACACTACATAGTATACACAGTACATAGTGTACACACACACAGTGTACACACACAGTACATAGTATACAGACACAGTGTACACACACAGGACACAGTATACACACACAGTACATAATGTATACACACACAGTGTACACACACACAGTACATAGTATACACACAGTACATAGTGTACACACACAATACATAGTACACACACAGTGTACACACACAGTGTACACACAGTACATAGTATACACACAGTGTACACACCGTACATAGTATACACACAGTGTACACACACAGTTTCATAGTATACACACAGTGTACACACACACAGTACATAGTACACACACAGTGTACACACACAGTACATAGTATACACACAGTGTACACACACAGTACATAGTATACACACACAGTGTACACACAATGTACACACACACAGTACATAGTGTACACACACAGTGTACACACACAGTACATAGTATACACACAGTGTACACACACACAGTGCACACACACTGTGTACACACAGTGTAAACACACACACAGTGTACACACACAACAACCGCCATTCGCCACTAAGTGGTGGTGACGTCACCACGACGTTTGTGCCAGGACATGTGCACCTTGAGGCCACGTGGAGTGTCTAACGCCCGCTGGCAGGAGGTCACGTAGTAGACCCAGGTGCCACGGGTCGACTGACTGAGATGACTGGCTGATGCACCACCTGTGCCCCCTACTGTGCCAATCTGCTGTGCTTTAGCCACCCGGCGCTCCACTCGTTGTTGTGAGCGTCGCTCTTCCGCCCTCCGTTGTTGTTGGAGGGCGACTGCCTCCAACTGCCCAGTAGCAGCATCCTTCACGAGCCACTCAGCTCCACGTCCTCCTGTACCACATCACTCCATCTCTTCTCTAGCCCGTGCCGCGCCCGTTTAGCCCCCTCGATCCGGCCGAACAAAAGATGTTTAGGCATGCGGTGGCTGGGCATGCGGGCTACATGACCCAGCCAACGCAGCCTTGCCTGCCGGAGGAGCTCACCGATGGGACCGTGCCCAGATCTTTCAAAGATTTGTGAGCTCCTCACACAATCCAGCCTGGTTAAACCCAGGAAGGATCGTAGGCAGGCCAGCCTAAATGTTTCTAACCGGCGAAGATGTTATATTAGGGGGTCTACGTTTCGCAAGCGTAGAGAAGGGAGGGAATGACCGTGGCCGAGAAGACCTGAAGCTTAGTGCGGAGCGACAGACCAGTTAGCTTCCACACAGAGTTACGCAACCGATGAAAAGATATTGCCGCTCGACTGATTCGGAGTGAGAGTTTTGCTGTTAAACTGGAGCCGGTCATAAGCACACTGCCCAGGTATGGGAAACTCTCCACTCTCTCCACAACTGCCCCATCACCAATTGGGAGTTGTCGGGGTGGAGTGTCCGATGGTACAAAATACCCAGGCAGGTGCTTAGTTTTGGTGGGGCTGATGGTTAGTCCCCATCTCTTAGTGGCACGCTCCAGTCTCAGTAGCAGCGTCTCCAACTCCGACTCTGAATGAGCAGCTATTACCAAATCATCGGCATACATAACGTGGTTGACCAATATGGAGCCATCCCTTGACCGCACCCGGGCATCGATCAGCATCCCATTATATCTGTACCAAATGGAGATTCCCCCGGTACAGCTATTGAAGGCTTCACGAACTACGTGGTCGAAATAGATGTTAAATAATGTGGGAGCCAGAGGACATCCCTGTCGCACCCCAAGGTGTACAGGGAATGGCTCTGACTCACGGCCACGTAGTTTTACCCAGGCCCGCTCACCATCATGAAGGTCCTTAATGATCGTGACCAGAGGGTCAGGGACTCCAAAAGCACGAAGAACAACCCAGAGCTCAGGCCTACTGATGGTATCATAGACCTTGAACAGGTCAATAAAGCAGAGATGTAGGTCTTGCTGGAATTCCCTACACCTCTGCTGTAGCAGACG